TTATTAGTCATAAGTGCATATATATAGGACTTTACGAGATGTAAATCCTTTGCCATCTAAAGATGATACAGCGTATTTAAACGCTGAATTATTAAAGTTAAGAAATATCATTGTAACAATATTTAATCCTACTTATATACAGTTAGTCATAGTTGGTTGTAAGTCCATCTACAATATCTATAATAACGTCTTGGCGTCTTATTACGTAAGACGGTGACCAGATGGAAGAAAATTACTTTTGCTTCATGGCTGAATCAGAAAATTAAAGATAGAAGACGCCTGTAGCGCAGTTGTTGCTTTCAGTAAATAAGGCGCCGGATTTGATTTTTATCCAGTCCATTTAGCAAACTATTTTTTATTGAATCGTAAATTATATATTTTTTATTAATACTGCGTTTTGATCTAGTACGCTATTTAGTATTTTTAATGACGTAGTAGAAATATATGTTTACTAGCTGACTCACGTAACTTCGTCTGCATCACACTTACTTCACATTTATCATTATAATGCACCCAATTTACATATTATATTTTTAAATTATAGCCCATTCTGATGTATAAGCTATACTACTGTAAAGTTTCATCAAAATCGGTTCAATAGTTTTCGCGTGAAAGAGTAACAAACATCCACCTACTCACAAATTGATGCTTTTATAATATTAGTAATATCACAGATAACATAATATTGTTAAATTAGAACGCAACTTAGATTGTATATGCTAAGCATATATTACGTTAATACTTAATACAGCTAATGCTGTACCCGCGATTTAGTCCGCGTAAAATAGTGACTTTTTCGAAATAATATTTAATGACCTAACCCAATAAAATTCAAATATTTTTTTCATCGTTTTAGCTTCAAAATGACAGTATAGAATTCCATATAATTTAATTAACAGCTTAAAAATAAGCTTCATACAACCTTTCATCCCCCCTTTTCAATTTCAACACTTTTTTCGCAGTAAACAGTAGCCTATATCCATTCTCAGGGTCTATACTATCTGTGTACCAAATTTCAGTAGCAGTTTTGACTTGAAAGCGAGACAGACAGACAGAGTTACTTTCGCATTTATAATATTAGTAAGAATTAGAAGTGACACCACTGAATGGAACTGATGACAACATTCAAGTTAGATTGTTAGATATATATGTTAAAGTAGGTATAAAAAAATATTATATTTGACAAATGGCACTAGGAGAGCAAACCTCGGAGATGTGTTATTCGTATACTAATTTAGTCAACTTGAAGCACTATAACATACTTACCGACAACAAATAAAACTAATTTATTAGTATGTGTATAAAGAACCCCCTATTATATATTTCATATTACAAACGTTAACTAATACCCTGTGCTGTTGTCCTTTACGTGAATTAGCATTATTAGTTATACTATAAGGAATAAATATTTTTTTAATCCAATACCTAAATAAACATTTAAATCAAAGATTCTCGACACCAGACACTCGTACTAAGTTGTTGCTTGTTCATCAATTGGAGTCAACTTGATAAATCACGTGAATTCAGCTGGATGATCTGATGCTCTGAGTACTAGAAAACTAAGTTACTTCCAAGTTAGATCTATTATGACTTAGTGAATTGTCACATTGGAAGTGACTTTATTTGGATCAGTGGTCTGAATATAATCGCTTTGATATCTATTTTTAACAATGTGCACGATGCAATTTTTTTGTGTAAAAATATTGTTTTTTTACATAATATACATAACAATGCCTTGTTAGATGTCATTTAATTTACACTTTCTGTTCTTTTTCTTCTAAATATTCTTTTGAATAAATTTGCTCATTTTCATTATGTAGCCTTATCAGTGATAAAGAATAAAATAATAATAATACCCAGGACAATTCACACAGTGCCATCTAGACCAAAGTAAATACAATACGATAACTGATACAAGTACATAATTTTTTTTTCGTAAATATATACATATTATACCTAGAAAACACCCAGATTTATATAAATAATCATACTCTTGAATACATATGTTTGTGCCGATGCAAATCGAATCCTTGACCGCCGAAAGTGAGGCGGTATGCTAAACCGCTAGACCACCGAGGCCATAAATCATAAAATACCTATCAATACTCTTATTATTAATGTTTTTCATTAGTAAAACATAAACAATTTTTTTTTTTATTTACTTATATAGTACTTTATCAAAATAGTCAGATAAGCTAAAAAAGGTAGAAACAAAATAATATCTACGTATCTATAGAGTCCCAAGGTAGCAAGTAGGTGTAAATATCGCTCAAGTGAAATGATGATTAACCACTAAAGTTTAAACTCAGGTATTAAATCAATCAATCTATACCAAGGTTCTTCAGAGAACATGTGACACGTACCTACTCCTGACAGTAGATTAATTGAACCGTATGTACATAGGTATTATGACGTTAATGTAATGAACATATAGATGTAATAAGTACCTACAATATAAATTGTTGTCAAGGACTATGTTCTAAAGAAAGTACTGAATATGAACGTGGAGAAAATAGAGCAAAATGGAGAAAACGACCGGGAATAAGATGATTGGATTGTGTGGAACACGATATCCATATAAGGAGCGTACTCGTAAACTTAGCTATGAAATAATGGCTATATGTGTCCATAATACGTTTGTACAGGTCATAGAAATAATTAGGCTCTAGAAGACTTTATTTTAAGTTTAATAAATTAATTTATCTGATTATCTTATCTACCTACACCGTCCATTCTTTTATATTTTTTAATCGTATGGTAATTAATTATTTTAATTGTAGATACGAAAATATAATAATTACACATTTATCTTTTTTGTTATCTCAGTTTTGGGCATCAGTTTATCTTTATAAATAGCAATATTTTACATACAATCTATATTCTAAATTTTAGTGAAAACCCTAAGGAGTGCAAACAAATTTGAGCTCAAAGAAAAATTTATGTATGCTCGTTAAATACATCTTTAAAATTTAAAGAAAAGCTCTTCTTTAATTTTAAAGAAAAGCTAACAGTTAGTTAAACTTATATTATACACATATAAATGGTAAGGAAATAAATACTAAATACAATATCTACTGTACGTATGTACATGCGACCTCTCTAAAAGTCTCATCCGCGTAGCGCCGTAGCTTGGCGTAGCTTGGCGGAGCCGAGGGGCTAAAACCGAGTATATATCGGGATTTCCCCACAAATTCCGTAAGCAATTTTAACTTAGAAGCGATTCCTTTGTACATAAAAAAATGCAGGTAAATATAATAAATACCAAAACTAGTTGTTTTTTGTTGTAATTTATTTCTAACTATTTTCCTAATCTGAGAATTAATGACCAAATACTTTAAGTGTTAAAATGGATTTGTATAACAAGAGAACCACAGCAAGATGTGTCTATAAGAATGTGTAAATTTCACATGTTAATATTGTTATTTTTTAAATAATTTATATACAGACTACCTTGATGATAATAGCGGAGGATACTCAAATGTTTTACACTTTTAACTTACTCACTAAATTCAAATGTAGAGAACATTTTAATTTATAAATTTCTTATTATTATTATAATATATATATTTATCGAAATAATATCGTTACGCTGTTACAAAAAAATATATCTCCGTTAAGTTATTTTCTATTATACCTAATAATTTGACATTGCCATAATATAAACTCTGCTTAATTTGGGACGAGATGGAGCTGTGTTAATTATAGACAATCATACTCAGTCATTTAGAGATTCATTCATTAAATAATAATAATAATAACTCAGACTAATATTATTAATTTTTTAGTGTATCACTTATCCCTGTCAAGATGTATGATTGGACTCTGGTAAGGTATTTTTGAGTAATGTAGGAATATGGAGAAAATATCCCATAAAAAACACCACCATATATGGGAAAACGATTACACGAGTTTTTATAACTTTTCAGTGTAATTTTATAAGTGATATTTTCAATATATATTCATAAATTACCAACACGATACCAAACTATTATATTCGCAAAGCTAAGCAAGAGTTCCTCCTGAAAATGGAGGATACCGTTTACAACGTTAGCCAGGCAGCTTGGTATAGATTTATGTGAGTTTATATTGTCTCGCATTAATAAATTGTGCTTTATTCTCCTAATCTTGTAACCACATAGATATTTCGAACTCAGTGTAACATAAATACGCAAAGGATATTCCAAAAAAAGAAGCGAAAAAGTCGAGAGACGAATGGCCTCTAGAGAGATAAGCGCAATGATAAATGTCTTCTGAATGAGTGATTGGGGTTGCATTATGAAAATAGTATTCACTAACCCAGAAATATCTTTACGAATAACCTTTTTCTGAGTATAATTTATCACTACATTCAGTTACATCTACAATGCTTTTAAACTGCGACCAAGATGGCGAAGATAACTTGACGGCATCTTAGTAAGACGTGTAGATAGTAGCCATGAATTAATATATGTTCTACTATCATTTAATCCATTTTCATGACTTAAACCGAGGTCATTTTTTCTCATGAAAGTATTATTCAAGAAATGGAATTAGATAAGGAAAGATAAACATTGATTTCGTATCAAATCGTTTATATAAAACATGGTTTTGATTAGTGATTCAAATAGTGGTAGATAATAAATGATAACAATTATCCACAACCTTCGTACGTTCTACTATACTAATCAATCAACCAATAAACCATTATTCTTTGAAAGTAATGAACCATAAATATCTTTGCCAATTCAAACTTTACCCCTTTTGTACTAAGGCTACAAATCGCCCGTAGCACGAATCCCTCTACGACTGTGCGTAGCGTACTGAACTGACAATCACCGCACTTCGACGCCGAGCATTACAATACCGATCACTTATCGGCTACATAGTTATGTACATTTGAAATAATAAATCCATGAGGAACATGAGTTAGCGAGGCATTAACGCTCGGGGTCGTCGAACGGCGTCGGCGTCCCGGCCGGGAGGGGCGACCGTTTCGGCGCGCGCTATCGATCGGAGCCTACCTTCCTGCGGCCGCAGCAGAGCATCCTCCGAGCGCGCGACTGTCCGCCCGGCGAAGACTTCAACCTGGTAAGTTTTCGCCACTGCATGGGTACAGGTTAGCGCGGCGCTTGCGGGAGCGGCCGCGGGGCCGGTTGCTCGCGCATCGCGACGCCGGCGTCAAACGCGGCCGGAGCGCGCGAGCCTTCCTCGCGGAGTGCCCGCCGCACGGCCGCGCCTGCGCCCTCGCCGGCCCACCAGCCCGCCACCCTGTGCCCCCTTACTCCTCGCGATTAATAATTCCGGCTACGCTGCCAGTGCGTATGTGGGTTAGTTTTTTGGCGATCGATGCGATTATTCTGTGCGAGCCACTTCCGCCCGATAGACTGTCGCGTTGCACCGACCGACGACGATCGAGTAGACGACCTATTAATCGCCCTTTGACATCGCCCGATAAGCTCCGGTTAAATAACTCCTGTCCTATCGAAAATGGAGACGTTTTTGGGACAAGTTAGAAGAGCAACAGATTTGTTACTTTATAAATTTTCGAATAGCAAACTAGGGTTTCTTGTTACATAAATTAAAGTTATTTTGTTTGTATACAACAAAAATATGAAACATAAATTAATTAGGCTAAATTATTACTTAGCACATGTGAGTAGAAGTTATTTGATGCTGACAGTTTACCCAAGTCTAGAAAAAATTGGGAATAGTTAAAGCTATATAAATACGAAACCATCTGTTCAAATAATATTCACTGAGCAAGGATAATATTATGCCTAATGGCGTGCATTGGGAAATATGTATGTAGCAGGCAAATAAATAAATTATTATTATTATAAATTATTATTAGTATACGTCCAGCAATGGACTGCAGTAAGTTGATAATGACGATATTCTAAGACTAAAAATAGTGTTAACATTCAAACAATTAAATATTTAATTACTGTAAAAGTCATGGAATAAGAGTAAAATATATTTACGTACCTGAATCCTGCGCAACGCAGGCAGTAAAGTTAGTTAGTTTTTAAAGTTAGAATGAAAAACATAACTAACAATATCTAATTCATGGTGAACGAAGGCAATGGGGAATTTATTCCCATAAGAGAAAAGTCCCTCGTCTGCACAGACCCTAAGTTTTACCTGTTATGTAATTAATCACGCCAACTAACACCCTAAACAAATTTAGTAAACCCTGAAGCCCGTTCAAGAATCAAACCAGTGGTCTACACGCAAGGAACTTTTCATCTTTACGCAATCAGGAGGTTGAACGAGATTTTGAGAATGAGAATATAATTATCTATGACGTATTTTGAACTCAGTTACATTTTGAAAGTTAAATATGCTTGGTTGACGTCAAATACGGGTAGATACGGGGTGCTCATACCTAGTAGGTAATATATAAATATTGATAGTCATTTGAGTAGATGCATTTAATTTATAATTTTAGCAATAATGCATTCGTAATGATATTTTTATTATTGTGAATGGTTCTGGTATATAATGGAACAACGAACACTTCTTCGCTACCCGATTAGTACCAATTTTTTTATTATTTTAATATATAATACCTGTATTCAGAATGTGTATGTTACTGCAGTGTATAATTACTTTGCAGAGAATAGGTACGTTATATTTATTTTATAAATTATAATACAGTTTGGTGTTTAATAATACCAACGCATGAAACATCATGTTTTTTTTTAATGAATGATAATGGTATAGTGCACCCGCCTTGCATTGCATGCATAACGGTATACGCTATATGGGGCACCAGTGCAGGATGATAAGATGAGCATGTGGTCAGGTCCGCTAGCCCATCGTCGCAAATTCACTAGAAATTTATCTCGATGGTCTCCTTGGGGAATAGGGTGGATGTCAACCTGTCATCAACATCGCTAGCACTGTTGTTATTACTAAGAATCTCTTCCTAACTGCATTACCATTAGCAAGTACTAAATTACTCTTCCATACGTGACAGTTAAATTTATGATACCTGTAGAATGAAGGCCTATACAAAACAAGACAAAATAAGGTATTTATATGTATAAAAGGAATGTTAAGTCACGATAAAGTTGAGCAATTAAAAATAAATATGAATGAGTTACTGTATCTAAAAAGTAATAATCTTTACTTTATTACATGATTCCACTCGCCTTTATATTTGAAAATGTGCTATATCCATTAGAATCTCAATTTGTCGAGGAGCATTTTACTACACCGGTAATTAGGAGCACTGTAGGTACGACAATTACAAAAGCCAGGAGTCAAATACATTTGGGGAGAGATAATAAGGTACGACATACAGCTGCGGGGACATCCGGGGACCACACAATGCGGGCCCAAACCACACACGGGTCGGGACACTGGGTAATACTTTGACGTCGTCGCTCGGTTTCTACTTGCGAGTTAAATTAATGGAATTTCACAAGCTTTTTGATATACGGGACATGAGGCAAATTAATATTAAGGACAGACTCGATTACACAATAAGAATGAAGTATGGGGTAATTGCGTTTCACGCGAACTGAAATTTAAATGGTATATTATTGAGTTGCTTCAAGGTGTCTGACATTTATCATATCATATATGTAAAATAATTTCTACATTAAAGAATAGAGGGACTCAGTGATATTTTAGACCAACTTACAATAGAAATTACTGAATACATTAAACACAGGAGATCTTTGTATGACATTAATTAGTAAAAATAAATTCTGATATTTCAACGTAAACGGGACAAAATAGGTATTCTACGACTTTTATCATTATAAATAAAAATTGCAATTTACAATTTTTATGTGTTCTTATTATCATCTCACTCAAGCTATAAATAAGCAGTATGTATCTTCTAACCATTTACCATGTTAGGCTAACTTTGATAGAAGAAAGTATAAAAATAGGTAAGTTTTATAACTTAACATGGTAGTAAGAATAAATTTTATAGTTAAACCTAATTTTGAGGCTGCAGACTCGTAGATCATATACATATTTATGTAAAAGTATGTAATATTGCTCTAGAAAATATCACAGTGTAAATTAGACAGCTGACAATTCTTTACAAAAAATTTCGAAACTGCCAAACTGCCCCTGACCTTCTGATTCTTCTTTCCGCCTGTGGAAATGTACTATTCTTCATTACAATCAGTGCCACCTTATTGCCAATTATGATAAAAATGATATCAAAATATTTTAAAAATATTTACTGATATTCGTAAATGTTTCGTTTTTTTCTTATATAAATGTTTCATTTTATCACAAACAGAAGAAGGTTTGGAAGGATAAGGGGAATGTTAAAAATAATAAGGAATATGAATAACTGACCTCAACGCTGTATTCACCACAATGTGTCGACTTATCCAATTGATCCTATCATATTCCACTGATCACACACAGGGAAAATATAGTTTACGCTAACAAGAGTATACTAGAGTATTAAAGTAAACAGATGATAACGCCTTATAAAATAAACAGATCTTTTACCAGGGATAAACTATAAAAAGTTGGCTGCTGAGGAGCCCTCTCCATTTTAGTCGCCAAGCAGAACTAAACAAAATTTTGTAAGCTATATATTGGTACAAGGCTCAGATTAGCTAGTGAAATTATAGGATAAGATAGCTAACCGTGAATAATGTCACGTGATAACATAATCATTGTATATAGGTGACGGTTATTGCTTACGATGGTAAGGTAAGCCGGTTTGCCGCTCCAATTATATATAAAGAAAATCAATAACATCTTCGCCTATCTAGAAATACAGTAAGTTCTATACTTGGACGTGTGTCTAAAGCTGCACTAGTAGATGCCTAGTAGATTTGGCTGGACAGGGAGAGATACACGAGCGATGAAGGCGAGTGTTGACGTATGTCGGCGTCCCTTAAACTTACTCACGGGTCTAAAGTCTCGGGAACTATTCGGAGGTACTCTCCACCACACTATGGACCCGGCATCAGCACGGTGAATCCATGGAATTCTAAGAAGTTCACTCTATAAAAGTAGTGAATATAAACAAGCGTTTATGAAATTTAAAGAACTCTGCATAACAATACGGTAGCGCGGCACGGGCTCTTAATTCACAGATTGCGTGGTGTCCCTGCACTGGAATTGATTAGGGCAATTTAGTAAATTATTTTTATTTTTGTTTTACGTCTCAACGTGCGGGCGAATATATTAGGTACACGCTGAAACACTAACTTGTTATTACGTATATTTTTTACTAATTGAGTAATCAGTGACTATGGTCTTTATAATAACTACATTACAAGTGGAATTATGAATTAATTATAAAAATTAAACAAATTGATTATCTTTTTTTATTACCTTTTGTCTTTAAATTACTGGTATATAACTAAGTCGACCACCTTTGATGGTATTAATGATTCATTGATGGTTGTCAGTTCGTTTCCTACATAACATTGATGACTTCGTTGGTCTAGAGGTTTAATACACCGCTTAACCTCCGATGGTCAGGGGTTCGATTCTTCGGTACAAACATTTGTATTCATGAGTATTAGTGTTTGTATATTATTATTGGTCTGTGTGTTTTCCATGTGTATCATGTATGTATTATTGTTATTTGTATATACCTATGTATAAATAAACCTCGGTGGTCTATAGGTCTAGCAAGCTGCTTTACAGCTGATGGTCGCGGATTCAATTTCTTCCTGGGTACATCTGTATTCATGAGTTGTTCTGAGTCTTGTCGGTGTCAATGGTTTCTATATATATTGTGTATTAATACATAGACAATATTTACAAAAAATGTATCTAAGTATTTCTATTTAACACCTACAACACAAACAATGTGCAGGAATTTTGTTATTATTATTATGTATTATATCTACACAAGTATAACTATGTGTATAGATTAATACGTGTATACACTAAGCATTTTATATAAATTTTTAATTACTTCTATGATTTTATTAGTGCCCAAAGTACAACCTCTGATTAGTTCGGTACTAACCAAGTATAAACGGTTTGAAATGTTCATAACTTATCGTAGGTTGTTATCATTTTATTTCCCACTACTGACTATATGTCGATGACATGACAATTATATATTACTTAATACTAAACTGAAGCCGCGGTACTCTAGTGATTGGTCAAT